TAACAGTGACCAATGTTAAACACTGTTAACCAGTAGGAGCAACTTCCTACCAATTCCAGAATATCCAAATGAGTTGTTTTTTTTTTAACATGGGATTATATTTAGTTAGTTAGTTCTGAGCAACTTTTTAAAAAAATCATTGTTCAGTTACAGTTTAGTGCTACTGTTTAAGGGCAATGATGTCTCAGGAGCCATAAACCAAAGGACACTTTCAAAAACCCACACCATGAACTTTTACATTTGATGGGTTCTCATTCAAAGTTCTTGACACTGGAGAAAGAATGAAAAGTTATAGAAATACAAAGAAAACAAGAGGCATTATAAATGAAGCTCTAATTTTACTCAAGGATACTTAGAATAACCCCAACAAAAAATACGTTGGTGAGACAAGATGGGGAAATTAACTTTAAAAATCAGCAAGTTAAAGTTCTTCTCTCCCTTAAACTACTTACAATTTAATTTTTAAGGGTTAAGACGATATTACAAATTTGCAAGTAAATTCAGCATTCCCCCAACTTTACACCAAGAGACAGACGTGCCTGAGCCAACAAAAGGGATGGGAGGAAGAGTCTCTGTTCTGCTAAGAAATTATCATTAAATTCTCTCCTTTCTGCTATTGAATTTCTGCATTGGACATCAACTTCAATGTCTGTTTTTGGCCCTTGATGCTTTCTAGTGCAAAAGTAACATTTTAACATATGATTTTTGCTAGGTGAATACACAACTCATCTTTCCTAATATTTCCAGTCACTCAGTAAAGGGGCTGCACAACAGAAATTGCTGAATTTCATCTGACCATAGTAAGAACTCATTTGACAGTAGCTAGAGGCAAAGCGCTAAGTGTTGCAGAAATTGTCAGATGTTCTTAGTCTCCATTGACACAAGATTCAAATGTTATTGTCCACTTTTCAAATGTTATTGTTTCCTTCTAATGTACTGATACTTCCTCCTTTTGAAAAAGTACTTTCTTCCTATGTCTTTACATCTGTCTTTGAAAGTACTCTGTGAGCCATTATCAGTCACTCACACGAATAAGAGTAGAAAACACCGGAGTTAGATTACTCAGTCATAGTTTATGTAGCAGAACACGTGCTTTGGAGTCACACAAACTAAGTACGTGACCTCGGGCAACTTCTATAAACTGAAAGTAAATATCTATGTCACACAATTTGCACAGTGCCTGAAATATAGTAAACTCTCAATAAGCAGTAATTTATTATTATTTATATATTATATGCAAAAATAAATGGCAATCATTTTATCAATAAGGTGATTTATAAATATGTGTGTGACTTTAATTCTTTCAGTACCAACTTTTTAGAAATTCCAAAGGTAGCAAAGGATCTTCATATTTTTTTCAGAGTAGCCAATAATAAGTTCAGAAATTACTGCCCCAAGATTGAATCTCGTTTGAATCAAATATTTAAAGTGATTAAAATCAAGTCACTTCTGTTATAGTCAGCAATAAAATAAATCATCAAAAGCACTGACTTCTTTTCTAAAAAAAAAAAAAACATTTTCTTTTTCAAATGGGCTATTCCCACTTTTTTCCCCTTGGAATGAATTTGCTCATTTTGTTTTAGACCAGAAAATATACTACATTGAAATTTCAAGTAACATTGAAGATTTGTGAGAGTATGTTATAAAGTAGAAAACTCACTGAAAATTTTAAGTATTACTTTAAAGTATTACTTTAGAGTATTACTTTCTCTGGTAGATTTCTTTTTACCTCCAACATATTTTCAACATAGTAACTTGAATACTCATCGATCTGCTTTTAGCAGCTATATATACAGAGTAAAATATTTTTGTTTACATTTTGTGTAATAAAGTTCCTGTTCATATTCATTCACATTTCTTGTCTATTTATACACGATTATTTAATTTGTGTGTTTACATGAATATATATCTTCATTTGGAACTGCCGATCAAAGAGAATACTGCTACGAACACTTCTCTATGTTTCGTTTTCAAATTATTATCCCTAAGTCAAATGCATTTGAGAACATGAGATATAAAAAACAGTACAAAATTTAGCACACTATGTTGAAAATATGTTGGAGGGAAAAAACAATGTGAATTGGGAAGTGACGTAATGACTGGCACGCTTATCTCAGAGAGCTGGGACAAGGTAGCCCAAAGCTTTGCAGTCGCTTCCCACTGGTGAGGAAGTTCAGGTGTTTATGAAGGCCCTCAACTAACCAGAAACAATTGTTAAAGGAAAATAAATCTTTTTACTAGTATAATTAGTTTCTGCATCTGCAGAAATATAAGTCTCCCTATAAAGAGGACTCTCAAAACCTATCAAACACATGGCCAGTTGGCATAGTCGGACAGAACTGATTAAATAAAGGAACTATGTGGTCCTGCCATAACTTAAAAAGTACTTAAAAATTATTATTATCTTAGATTAGATCAAAGAAATAAATGTAAAGCCTGGAAACAAGATGTAATGATCACTCCTAACAAAGAATTACATAATTTGTTCCTAATTTAACACAAATGTGTGTGTATATATATGCATATATTTTTTTCTGGAAATATAGGAAGTAATCTTATGAGTGAATATCTCTGTGCTATATTTTTGGGAGTCTGGGGAGAATGTGAAAGGTACTTTTCTGTGGTCTAGTAATCAAATAAACATAATATGTATTAGCAAGAGAAACTAAACTAATTTAATTACATAAATATGTACAGGAACTCCACATCCATGACAGGTTGAAAGACATGTACATGGGACATTCTGAGCAAGGGATGAAGTAATTGCTGGGAGACCACGTGTTCAGAAATTATTAGTTTCTCTTTTTTTTAGTTTTTTTTTAAATTTTATTTATTTATCTTTAGAGGGGAAGGGAAGGAGAGAGGGAGAGAAACATCAATGTATGGTTGCCTTTTGTGCGTCCCCTGCTGGGAACTGGCCTGCAGGGAACTGGCCTGCAACCCTGGTTTGTGTCCTGACTGGGATTCGAACTGCGATTGTCTGGTTCGCAGGCCTGCGCTCAATCCACTGAGCTACACCAGCCAGGGCAGAAATTATTAGTTTCCATAGGTAGAAAAAGTTATTTCTGGGGATAACTCTTATCCTGGGCCAGGCCCCTAATTTAAATTCTACATAGTTATGGTTGGGCAAAAGCTTCAGCCCACAGTGTCTCAATTGCAGTTTTAGTCTAAAAGGCTTGAGTTAAACGAACAGGACAGGCTTTACCAAGAGAAGGAATGTGTTCAAACACTTTGATGCCAAGAATTTTTTGATGTAGAATCCAAAAAAATTAATATAAAAATGAGAAACATGTTACCATGAAATGTGTTTACCTGAAAAACCAGATCACAGACTGTGAGTGATTTTTAAGGTGTAAAATAGTTTTGTTTTTCTCTTAAGTTTAGCAAAGAGAGTATACCTAATCTTACTCTGACTATAAAAACAATAAAAGAAAGATTTGAGAATATCCTCAAAGAAACCATTGATACCTAGAATCAATAAGATGACTTTGGTAAACTGCTAAACTGTTGTATAATAATATTCTAAAGCATAAATAACTTTTATTAGTACTCTTCTTATCTAGGTACATCTAGCTCTGAAAACAGTTATAACAGCCATACAAAAGGAGCCACAAAATGTTAAGAGTAGTGAAGGGAATTTTAGGATTATATCATGAAAAGGAAGAAATTAGCCCTGGCTGATGTGGTTCAGTAGATTGAGTGCTGGCCTGCAAACCAAAGGGTCACCTGTCTGATTCCCAGTCAGGGCACATGCCGAGTTGCAGGCCAGTTCCCCAGTAGGGGGCCTGCACCAGGCAACCACACATAGGTATTTCTCTCCCTGTCTCCCCATTGCTTCCCCTGTCTCTAAAAATAAATAAATAATATTTTTAATAAAATAAGACACTTTGGAAAAAAAGAAGTGACATAGACAATATATTCAATAATTTCAAATAAGGAAATGGTGTGATTTGTATAACTTACTTTGTTTTTCCTTTTTAAAAAGGAAATGCCCTTCACTGGCATTTTCTTTTCTTCTTTTAACATAAGATGAAAAATCCAACTTTTTATATTCATGTTGAATCTCATCCGCTGTTCTTGGCTTCAGGAACTCATTATGGCTCCAGAGGAAAGTTAGGTCAGGGAGGATGCAGAATTTAAGAAACAAGTTTGGCCTTTTTTTCTGGAATCTATGACCATAACTTAGAAATATTTGACATTTACTGAGCATTTGCTATGTTCCAGATAATGTAATAAGGGCTTCATTTATAATATTTATTTTTCTAACCTTGGAAACAATCTTCTGCAGAAGGTGGCATTAGTAACCACATATTACAGATGAAGTATCACAAAGTTTAAATATTTTAGCACAGCCCTGCTCTAGGGACAACTTGACCCAGGGTAAGAAACGCAGACTGGTAGTTTGGACCCACGTGAGCAGGACCTGGCAACCTGGTAGAACAGCTGGAAGAGACCAAAGCAGAAAGCCATGGGGGGATCGATGTGGGGGGGACTGCCAACTGAGGCTGAGCCCACCACCATCTTCTGGGAAGCACAGTGCCCCAGGGGCCCATCTGACCCAGGCAATCCTGCTGGTAGCCAAGCTAGAACTAACTAGGGTCTCACCCTTGAGCAATCAAAGAGTCCATCAATAGGCCTCCCCCGTCCCTAAGAGTGGGAGTGACTAGGATCCTGATCTCTCAATACAGCCAGTGCCCAGCTGCAGGAAGCAATGGGCCTGGTGGCAGAGGAGATGCCTTTCTGGCCACCTGAACCCTATTTTCCTGTACTTTCTGAAAATGGAGCTGGGGACCTCCACACCTGGCCAGCAGCCACTCTCTGGACCATCTGTGAGCCACCTTCATGACATCACAAGACCTAGAGGGAGCACTGTGACGTCAGCAGCTGGTTGCCCCCCAACAGAGACTAGAATTTTGAGGGCAGTTTATACTGGGCATTTGACCGTAGCGTTCAGTTGTAAGACCCTGTGTGGCAAAAGCTGTTTGTTCTAAAGTACACCCATGGCTAGTTCAGATGATGATGAGATGGATGAAGCCATACCGGCCACATCAGACAAAAGAGCACCACCAATAACGGTCCAAGGCGACACATCCCCAGGTTTCTCTGTGGATCCAAGGCGGGCTCTGGAGATGGGTGGGGACCAAGCCCCGAGCCAGGATCCAAGCTCTCAAGACAACCCAAAACCAAAGGATTCAAAAGAAGGTATCACCAGTGTTGAAGGAAGCAACAGACTTTTCCGGCTGCCCTTCCCCAAAAAACTTTGGAGGATAGTGGAGGATGACGCCTTCACATCTGTGCGCTGGAGTCACAAGGGAGACACTGTGGTTATCGAGGTGGAGCTTTTCCAGAGGCAAGTTCTCAGCCGAAAGGGTGCGGAGAAAATCTTCGAATCCGACAGCCTGAAGACTTTCATCCGTCTGATGAATCTCTACGGATTCTGCAAAATTCGCCCAAGCAACTCAATTTGCCATCCAGGAACCAGAAGACGGATGATCTACCACAACCCTAACTTTCAAAGAAACAAGCCTTTGCTCCTGAAGAACATTAAGAAAAGATACAAGTGGATGACCACAGCTGCTTTGCCAGGGAGCCGCGCATTACCTCCAAAGAGCAAGAAGAGGCAGGTATCCCTTCCGAGACATTCACTTATTAACTATAGGGAAGACACCAAAGAAAGCAATGGTGAAACCCAGAAGAAGGCCCCAAGTGCTCAGGGACCCAGTGGCACCCAGCCATTCCAGTTCCCAGGTCTGAGGTGCACAAGCAGTGTTATGATTGCCCACTCCCCAAATGACCCAGGTGGCCCCAGTGGGGAGTGCATATCCGGGATTGTCCCATTGGCCCCCAGGTTTCCTGCCGGAACTGACAGCACAGGGGACCTGGCCACCAGCTACCTAAATTTCTCACTGTATGACTCAGTGATGTATCTGTTCAACACCTGCTACTCCATCCTGATAGCTGCCCTTTCCGTCATAGGGGAACGTGGTGAGCTGGACACGGAGGGCCCCTCCGATCGCCTGTCTGTCTTGTGCGAGCACATTCCAGACGATCCAGTACCCTGAGCGCATACATGACAGACAGCAGTCACCACCTTGTCACCACCAACCCATGGTAGTCAATAAACAATCCAACAAAAAAAGAAGGTTTAAGAATTTTGCTTAAATCTATTCCAAAATTTTAACCCATTTCTGTGTAGCTTGTAGGAGGTTAAACCTTTGTGAAGATGATACAGATTTAAAAATGTAGTGAGAGCAACTGCTCTTTCACCATTGGCAGCTTTTCCAGAGGGAGGCCTGCTGGAATTTATAATTAGTCAGTTTGCTTATTTTGGTGGGAATTATGGTAGACCATTAGAAAACTTCCTTTTCTGGTTTGGGATAAACATTTTAATAGCTTCTCACTTACATTAATGCAAAGCCAAAATTTTTCCCTAGAATGAGGAACTTAAACACTTAAGTCATTAACTACTTAAGTACTTAACTTCCTCATTCCAGTGAAGAGCATATCTACTGAGTATAGTAATATAAACATAAAATATAGTAAATATTTTATTAGTAAATATATAATAAATATATTAAATATTATAGTAAATTAAAATATTTACTATAATATTTAAATATGTATACTAGTAATATAAATATAAAATATAGTATAGTTTGATACTATACTATACTATATTATACTGTATAGAAGTATTAGTATACTATGGTATACTGTGTACTATAGTATACTATGATACTATAGTATAGTATACTATACTATGCTATAGTTTATAGTATACTATATAAAATACTATATTTCTATATAGTAAATATATATACTATATAATATATATTTATATTACTAATATATAAATATATATACTATATATACTATATATGGTATTTGTTTATAATATATAGTATTTATATTTATATTACTAATATATTTATATTAGTAACATAAATATAAAATATAATCAACATTCTTGGAAATACATAGCAAATATAGTAAATAAAAATATAGCAAATATAAAATAAAGTAAAACAAGTGTATAGTAAATATAAAAATGTCTAGTGTGGCCTGAGTTGCCACTTCAAAAACTGAGCAGTGATGAATTAATTGTTCACTGAAACTGGAGAAGGAGATTGAGGATGAAGAGAGCACAGGGTGAAGGCAATTCCACTAGGGGAGTTATCATAAAATGTTTTCAAAACACGGAAAAGGGAAGACTGAAATAGCCAGTTAAGAAACTCCTGTGATAAGCATTAGCCAATGAACAGGTAAAATGTAATACCAGTTTTTGGTTATTTTTCTCTGTGAGGGAGAAAAAAACATTTCTCTCCTCTCAAGGTTCTTCTGGCTGGTATGGTAATCCAATACACATTTTCACATTTTCAGAGAAGATAACTAAATCTAATAGAACCAGAGACATGGAAATACAGAACAAACTGACAGTAACTGGAAGGGAGGGGGTAATGGGAGGAAAGAAGGGAAATAGTCAAGTCAAGGAACATGTATAAATGACCCATAGACAAGGACCACAGTTGTGGGGGGATTGAATGTGGGAGGGGAGGGTGGGTAGGGCAGGGGACGGTGGTGGTGGGGATAATGGGGACAAGTGTGATTGCACAATAAAAAAACAAGGGGGACAACTATAGTTGAACAATTAAAAATTAAAAAAATAACTGAATTTAAAACATACATGTCTATGGGAGCCCTGCATATACAGGGGAGTCAGAGATTCATAGGACATTCTGAGTTGGGGTGGGGTCCTGCCCCTCAGATCTGCCAGATGATAACGAGAGCAGGTGCTTAGTACATAAAAGTTTGCCCTGCCCTATAGGTGAGTAAAAAAGCTTATGACTGATAATATTTCATGGGTGAGGCCTCTAATTCAAATTCTTGTAAGCAGTTAAGGGTGAGAGGCAGAAGTTTCTCCTGAGCTTTGGCTAAAATTGCCTTTTAGATCAAAACAATTTCCATGTCACAGAGGCCCATCTTGCTGTCATGAGAGCAGGGACCTACATCCAAGATTGCTGTGGCCAGCAAAGCTACCATTTAGAATGGAAGGGCAGATACAGTGCCTCCCAGACAAGAAAAAGCTAGAGTTCCCAGTATTTTATTACCAATCCTCCACATGAACAATCACTTACTATGTGCCAAGCACTGTTCTTAATGCTTACTTGGAAGTAGCCCATTTAGCCCTCTAGGGAGGAAGAGTGAGGCTTCAGTCCTTGAGTTCTGCTCAGAAAGATTCAGAACCAAGACCCGAAATTGGGAGACAAAGTTTATTCAAGAAATGAAGCAAAACAAACAGGCAGTTCAAAGAGCTGACCTATCAGGGCCTGTCCTGTCCTTATGTGGCAGTTACATCAGGCTTGTCTCTGGCCCCTCATTCCTCCTCTAAATGGGTCTAAATCAGTGGTTCCCCCACCAGTCTTGGCAGCAGGGACCAGTTTCATGGAAAAATTGGAGGCGGGGAGGGAGGTACAGCTCAGGCAGTAAGAGGAGTGAAGCTTTGTTTGCTCTTCCTGTAGGGAGCAGCCCGCACCGCACCATTCCCTTTCCCTATTGTCCCCTGACATCTGCCCCCATAGGCCTGCATGTCCTAAACTCTAAGGCAGTGGACAGCGGCAGCTGGTCCCAGGCTGATCTCCTGAATCTGTTCCTAATGCTGTAGAGAGATCTGATCAGATCAGTGGGCAGGAATAGGAGGGGCCCCAGGAGGTGGCCGCCCAAGACAAGGGTCAACAGTCTGGGATGGGGTTGGCTGAGAAGCTGGACGAGTCCAGAGCGCATGGAGTTACAGGTCAGATTTATGATAAAAGAGGGCACAAACTGGCTCTCAGACTGTCTTCCTCGAGGATGCCTGGTGATCCTGCTGCAAGGCAGCCGCCTGCGTTCCCCAGAGCACGCACGGCATGTTGGATGGGAGAAGGAACTCCGGGTGGAGCCTAGGGTCGGGTCGGCCTAGCAGAGGGTGGCAGGGCTGTTCTCCTTTGGGTGTTCTGGAGGGATGGGCTCTGAGGCCTGCCCTTCTTCCCACATTCTGTAGCCTTTGTATCTTACCTTGTTGGAGTTTGTACACTGACCCTATAGAAATAAGGTAATTAAAAACTAACAAGGGGAATAATGGGGAACTCCGGAGTTAAAGAGGTTAGCTTTAATTGATAGGCTTAAGTGATTAAAACCAGAACTCAACACTTAAAAATATTTCAGCCTGAGTTGACAGGCTTAGGTGACTAAAGGACCTGGAAAGCTGTTATCCCAAAATGATGTAGCTTTGAAATAAAGACGTTTTTCTTTTCTCACCAAACACTTGCCTCCAGAATTTTGCCTAGAGGGTGGGCAGCAGACCCCAGGCACTGTTTGGGGTCAACTAATGGTGACTCTGGTTGGACGTAGCTGCCTGTGACTGGTGGAGCCCAAGAGTGAGACTGTGCAGTTTGGAGCTATGAAACCCTGGCCCTTTTTAAAACAATGATTTTATTTATTTATAATTTTAGGGAGAGGGGAAGGGAAAGAGAGAAATATCAGTGTGTGATTGCCTCTTGTGTGCTCCCTACTGGGGACCTGGCCTGCAACCTGGGCATGTGACCTGACTGGGAATCCAACCAGTGACCCTTTGGTTCATAGGCCGGCACTCAATACACTGAACCACACCAGCCAGGGTTCCCATAATATTCTTAATCTACCATAATATTCCCATAATATTCTCGTACCTACCATTTATGAGAATTCACGATTCTCTACACAGTGCTCACAGTATCTGTTTCATCAGTCGGATTTCCCTAAACCGTCTCCTGTAGCCACCCTGTAAGTGCTAGGGGGAATTCAGAAGACCTCATCAGAGTTGAATCACTTTATCTAGCCTTCTCTTTTTCATACTACACTCACGTCATTTCATTTATCTGCTGTGCACACTTTACTTGCTCTATAAAAAATTCCACTTCGTTTGCATTTTGGGATTTTGGTTTGGTTTGGTATTTCTGACAGTTCTCCTTTTGCTGATAGTTATGCCTCCAGAATATTACCCAGTCAGTGAAAGAAGTCTCTTTCCATACATATATTTATCTTCTATATTTATATAGAGAGGCAAAAGTAGATTTACATTCATTTGTATCAAAAATAATACAATAATTAGTAAATAATAATATGAGAAGAAATTATTTGGTGTACTCATATCTGTAAACTGTCTTTTGCCCCACAGTGGGAAAAAAGCCCATTTTACTATCCCTTTTAAGCAGATTAAAAACAAACAAGTAAACAAAAATCTGCATAAATCCCCATTCCAAGAAACTATATTTCAGAAAGAGAATGTTTTTCTAATTTAAGCCTAATTTATTAATTGAGTATTTATTGCACACTTACTATATGCGGGCCTGTGAACTCCATAACCCCTAATTTTATGAGGCAGATGTTAGAAACTTCAGGCACAGACGTGAGTAAAATATTGAAGGATCTTGCCTTAAAGCAACTATATTCCAATTAAAAGAGACAGATAATAAGTAAGAGACCAATAAATTTAAAATATTTCAAGTGTTTCCCTGGCTGGCGTGACTCAGTTGATTGAGTGCCAATCTGCGAACCAAAGGGTCACCGGTTTGATTCCCAGTCAGAGCTCATGTCTGGGTTGTGGTCCAGGTCTCCAGTAGGGGGTGCATGAGAGGAAACCACAGAGGGATGTTTTTCTCCTTCCTTTCCCCTCTCCCTAAAAATAAGTAAATAAAATATTTTAAATATATTTCAGGTGTTATAAGTACTATGCAGAAGAAAAAGCAGAGCAAATTCTTTTCGAATGAGGAAACATATAAACAAAAAGTTTCATTTACTTATTGCAGAAGAGAGAACAGTACGTGGGCAGTTCTCAAATGTCTTCTTAGAGAACATGAGCACATGACTCTTTGGCTTATGCTTAGGGTTGGGAAGCCGTAGGTTGAGATATGAGAGACAGGTGAGGTTCTTAAGACAAATGTAGATTGGATGGAGTGAAGTGAAAATGTTGTATGTATGAATCATAAGATATTCTGTGATTGGTTTGCTCAGTTAGTATGTGGCTGTTCTAATCCCCTACCCTTTT